GTGGAGCTCTCTAGCTACCACCAGTACTGTCCGTCCTTCCAACTAAGCCTGGCTGGGCCTGACCGCCCCACCCGCCCACAGGGACAAATAATCATGGCTGCTCATTCACCTCCCCCTCAATGTTACTGAGGGCCTACTGTGTGCCCGGCAATGTGCTAGGCCCGAGGAATACGACGGTAAACGAGACAGAAATCTCTGCTCTCCTGGGACTATATTACACTTACATGCATGCGTCCTTCCAACTAAGCCTGGCTGGGCCTGACCGCCCCACCCGCCCACAGGGACAAATAATCATGGCTGCTCATTCACCTCCCCCTCAATGTTACTGAGGGCCTACTGTGTGCCCGGCAATGTGCTAGGCCCGAGGAATACGACGGTAAACGAGACAGAAATCTCTGCTCTCCTGGGACTACATTACACTTACATGCGCACGCACACGCACACACACTGACCTCTGACACTTGACTGGACCCTCTGAATCCCAGTTTCCTCATCCGTCAAACAGGGTGCAGCATGTTATCTCCCTCGTAAGATGGTTGTAAGGATCTTAACCTAGAAATTGGAGTTCTTTCTGCCACCCCCCACTTCATGGGCACCTTCTTTTCATGAGACCTGTCCTGCTGGGCAGACCTGCAAGGAAGCAGCAAGGGCAGTGAGGGCTGCCCCTACCATCTCTAAGCCATAGTGGTGACCCCGCAGCGGATCGAAGCAGGACACCCCAGACAGCACGGGTAGATGCTCTTGCAGCACATGGGAGGGTGCTGTGCACACAGTCAACACTTGTGTACATCATAGGTTCCTTGGCACCTGCACATAATAGGCACTTTGCACATAGTAGGTAGTCAATTAAAGCTGCTGGGCAGAAGGAAGGGAGAAGGGCCTCATGTGCCCTTGACCACCACACTCAGCCAAGAATACAAACTCTGTTGCTGAAGGGGGGAGGGGAGTTACCTGCATGTGTGGGTGACCTTGCCCTTGATCAACCCCACAGCCACCCCACACCCATGCCTTGACACAGGAGAGGCAGGCACCGTGTTCACAGGCTGGGGGAACCAGAGAACGCAGATTCCAGGCCCAAGCTCCTGCCCCACCTACGAGAACCCGTGTGATCTGCCCCCACTCGTGCCAGCTGCCTCTGGGCGACTGCATTCGTGCTCCCTCTGCCCTGCCTACTCTGTCAGCTCCCAACCTCACATGAGAGAAACCTTCCCTGAGCTCACCAACCAAGGTGCTTCCTAAACTTATCCTTCAGCACACTGGTCACATGCTAGCATTCAATAGCTATGATTAGTTAGTGCCTATCTCTCCACCAGACAGGTATGTAACACAAGGCCAGCAGCTCCCTGCTCCATCCTCAGTTCCTAGCATACAGCAGGAGCTCAATAAATGCCTGTTGAATGAATGATTGAATGAATGCAAGAGGTCAGCTGCATTTGCAACCTCTGGCTCCTGTGGCAGATACGTGGTGGCCAGCACCCACTAACGAGCCAACCCACCTCCGTGGGCCTCTGTTCAGGCCTGTCCCTTTGCCTGGAACACCCGTCCCCGTCCACCCCTGCATGTCAGTCTTGAATTGAAGTCCAGCTGCTGGGCCAAACCCTGGCTGGAGCGTTTTGGAACAGCCGTGCCCACTTGAAGCGCCCTCACTGCCAAGGCAACGGCCGGCAGCCACCCTCACCATGGCCCCCACTCCAACGTCTCTATACGAAGAGTGACATGTACTGAGCACTTGCTATACACGACACATTTTTTTAACTACTTTTGCAAAACATTAACTACCCCAAGCTTCATGACGGCACTCGGACGTAGGGCCAGTACTGCTCCCATTCTACTGATGGAGAAGCTGAAGCACTGACAGGTCCCAGAGCTGGCAATGAAACGAAGTCCCCATGCAGGAGACGCCCCAAAATGCCGGACCGGCGCCTGAATGCACAGTGCGAGGAAGGCTCGCTTCCCAGTGAGTGTTCAGTGAAGGAATGAGTGTAAAAGCCTCATTCAGGTCCCCGCCCCAAACCCACCGGGTGGTCAGGAAACCGGCCACAGGGTGAAAATGAAAAAAAACAGAAATAACAGTGCCACTAGCTCATGCTATGTGCCCTATTCGGCGGCAAATGGTCTGCATTTATTCGCTTGTTTATTCCCCACTGGGTGGCGGTGGGGGGCGGCAGCACTATGATCATTTTATAGATGAGGTGTGGGAGGAGTGGCCTGCCTGGGGTCAAAGGGCCAGTGAGGGCAGAGCTGGGATTAGAACCCAGCTTGCTCTGCTGGCAAGTGCTCAATAAACGTGAGCGATGCCGCCCACCATCCACCTCTGTCCACCCTCCTCCACCCAGATGCGTGGCCCAGCAGGCTGAGAGGCCCCCTCATTCCTGCCAGCTCCCCAAGGCCTGGCCAGAGCAGGCGCTCCAGAAATAGTCGCATATATCAGTGAACTCCTGGGGCTTAGACAGGCTGCCCAGCGGCACACCCAGGGAGTCACGCTCCTGACACCCGCAGACAGAAGGCAGTGGAGCTGCAAGAAACCCGAGCCCCTCCCCGATGACCTCTCCACAGAGGAGCTACCAACCAAACCTGAGGCTGCTTCTCGCTGGGTGATGAAGAGGAGCGTCCCTCTCTAAGCCTCAGTGTCCCCATCTGTAAAATAGGCTGATGTTCTTTTGGCGTTAATAGTAATAAATTAGGAGCCTTCTAAGAACTAATGTCTATGAGGTGCTTGGCTCGGGCTCAAGAAATGAGTAGCTGTTGCCATTTTATTACTATTATTATTAGAAAAGAGGACTGCCAGCTCCAGAGAAGGTCGGGTCTGCCACGGCAGGAGCCTGGCCTAGTGGGCCCGGCCAGGGGCACCATGGGAACCCAAACAAAAGGCCTCAGGGGAGAGGGGCTGATCAGGCGGCCGAGCAGGAAATGGCCAGTCGGCGCACTCCGCTGTGGCCCGCACTGGGGAGGGGACATGCCGGGAGGTTTCCTGGCCATGTGGGCAGCCAGGCCACAGGAAGGTGGTCCCTGCCTTGGGCCAGGTGGTAGCAGTTTATTGAGCACTTAACTATGTGTCAGGCACACACAAAAAAGAGCAATTGACCAACCTTGGGATCAGGGCTGAAAAGCTCTTGGCAGAAAATAATTATAAATCACATGGGGGTTCCCAGAAGCCCCCAGGCTGAGGCTGGCAGGAGTAGGGGGATCTTTGGGGCACTTCTGTACTCCCACTGGAGCATCTGGGAGCCTGGGCTGCCAGAGGGAT